ATTAAATTCAATATCATTTACATTATGAAATGGAAAATAGCATTGGATGCCATTTTAATCGCTTGATAGATACTTGAATAACTTTCCTGCCTACTTTAGGCTTGGTAGAAATTCGGGGTCCTTTTGTAGCGAGTGCTGCGGTCCGCTGCTGGTTTGGTCATGGTCGAGCACGACGTCTGGCTGCTGGCGACCGGGTCGGGGCACGTTGTCTCGTTCGTGTTCAGGCTGGCGTGGGTGTCTATCGGCGGTGTGTGGTTAGCTCCAGCAGAAGCACGAGCAGTGACGTCTTGATTCTCAGGAGAAGTAGTAGCCTGAGGCATGGCAGCAGGAGGATTAGCACTCAGGACAGCAGTGGCGGCAGGAGTAGCTACATGATTAGAGGCGTCAGTAGATGTAGATTCATGTTCAGGAGCACAGTTCATGGGATCCTCTGCCCTCGGTGTAGCGCGGTTTCTGATCACGAGTTAGCGATAGCTAAAGTAAGCTATCTGCCCCTTCACCTTCGCCTCCTCCAGCTTCTCGTTTTGGTTCTTCCTTACCTCGAGTGTTTTTTACACAGTTCCTTGTTAATGAGGACCCTTGACTTGTTCTTGGCCAGCTTCCTCCTCTCCTGAAACACAGCATCCCTCTTGGGGAACCGAGTAAAGCGGACTACGATGTCCCTGCCGTGCACTGTTTTGCCAATACGGTGTACACGTTCGAAGTCTGGTTGTATGTTGAAGTTGTCCCGTAGGAATTTGGTGACCTTCCATTGTGTCTGCTCCCAATTTTCATGTTTGTCTTACGGAATTCCGCTTATTCGCAGGTTATTGCGGCTGCTGTAATCATCAAGATAATCTACTCGTTCTACCATCTCTGCCATGACATTCCTTGTCCTATTTATTTCATGGATTAGTTCGCTTATCTGAGCTCGCAGGTGTTTATTTTCGTTCTTCATTTGATCCAGTACTTCTTTTTCCTCCCAAATTCGCTATGAGAACTCTAGGCTTTTTTCAAGATCCACATATTTGTCATTAACTTCCTTTATTTTGCGCGCTGTTTCCTTTTTAATCCGTGCTA